AAAATATGCGCGTACTAGTAGGTTTTTTTTTATTGCAGCCGCACGCTGCTGCACGCCAGCCTGCTGTCTTATTTTTTATTTTGCGGAGAAAACATCATGGAGGACGACAATTGTTTTTTGGGGTTTGTGGCGGTGTTATGCATAATGGAGGACGCTTTCCTTGGTTTTCATCTTTTTTTCAGTGGCTGACCGCCGCTTTGGCTGCGGTGCCACCTCCAGCCCCAATTGTCTCTGTTCGCTGCCTTTCCGTCCCGCACTCCCACTGCGTGTGTTTTTGTTCGTAGGGGCTCATGTCATGCTCGAATCTTCTCTTTCTTTGCGTTGCGTTTCCGCAAGCACACACACACGATACAATTATATTACTGCGGTGTACGTGGATGATTCTTTCGTAGTTGCTGCCGGCAGTGCCGCCTGTGGCTGCTGTTGCCTTCTTCCATGGCGGTGGGAAGAAGAGGGGCACAACAAGAGTGTGAGTATGCACTATGGATTCCTCTCTTTTCTTGCGGGTGCGGGCCGCTTTGTGCGGTGGTGTCGCTTTGAGTGGTGGCAGTGTCAACTGTAACGGCGTGGAGTGGCGGTGCGGTGTGGGTGATGTGTCATTGGATGGTTGCGGGCGCACTTTTTGTGTATGCGCGTGTGGGGAAAGCGGGGTGTGTGTTCGCGTTGGGTATCTTGCGTTGGCTGTGGAGGTGGCTGTGAAGGCCTCGCTTTAAGTGTTGGTGAGAGGGCAAACAGACGGACCCATTGATGTATTATTATCGTGGTTTGTGTAGTGGGTGGGGTGGCAGCTTCCGCGTGTGTATTGCAGCGGGGGCGGGGCGCCGCGGTTGCAGCTGCCCGCTATGGACAGCGGTGCCCGCCTGCTTGACTTTGGCGGTGCGCGTGGGATGCTCCGCGACGCAAATTTTCTGATGGCACCGAGCGGCATTTCCGGTGATGGCGCCAACGTTACCGGCCGACAGGCGACGGAGCGCGGAAGCAAACAGCAGGGGGCTTTTAGCGGCTCGGTAGAAGAAGTGCTTCTGGAGGGAATAGTTGGCTCCCAAAAAAAAATACAACCGAACGATTTTATTCGGACGGATTTTGGCCCAACATCCGTGGTGGATGAAGACACAAAATGTGCCGATGGAGGTGTTTGTGCAGGAAAGTGCGGGATGCGTTACAGACCAGAGGCATCGTGAGGAAATTCTCAATTTGCCATTTTACACAGCCATACAGAAAGAAATGGAAGATGCGCGCAAGCTTACGGAGAGCAGGGTGGCTACGCTGCGAGACTGGAAAGACTTTTCAGATAAGAGTATTGTCTCTCCTATTAAACGGACAAAACTGAAGGCAGCCCTTGCCGCGGTGGAGGAGGCAGAGAGGGAAAGGCGGGCAGCCGCAGCACCTGTGGTTTTGGATGAGAGGGTCTACCGGTCGGTGTTGAATGCAACGTGGGACTTACGTGGAGTCGGGCCACTTTGCGGAGCCGCTTGGGATGAGGGTGGTGGGCGCCGCTTCCAGCAGGCCTCAGGTATTGTGGAGTGAGAGTGGGAGTGAGGCGGACGTCACACCTTGTCCTCCTAAGATTGAGGAGTGTGAAGAGGAGGAGACCCGTGGTGTGGGGCTGGAGTTTATTGTGCTTAGATCTGCGTTTGTGTGGCCGCACAAAATTTCCTTTTGCCAGATTACGAGGATGTATTTGTGCGGAGGGAGGTGGTGCATGTGTTGAGGAGGAGCGCGTGGTGAGGGATGCGTCGGTGGTGGTGAGGCCCAATGTGGGGAATGGAGGGGACGCGGAAAGCTGCAGGAATTTTCCCGTTTCAGTTGAGGTCAAAAAGAACATTGCGGAGGCGGGTGCTAATGAAGAACTTTAAAATGTCTCGCCTGCTGTCTGTTGTGGGAACGTGGAGTAGGTCTGCTGCTGATGATCTTGAGTGCTTGGGCTGCGTGGCGTTTCTGATTGGCGACGTCGCCGAAGCGGTTGCTCGCCAGATGAAGCACCTTTCCCGCAGCGAGGGAGTAACGCGGGCCAGCGTGTTGGCGGACGGGCATGCGGTGGGCCTCTTTCCAAGGCCCCCCTGCGTGGTCGGATGCATGGCAGGTGGAGATAATAGAAGAGTAATAATCCAGACTGAACTTCAAGCTGGCGTTCTGTATATGCCCAACAAGTGTTTTGTCACCGTGCTGGACGCGTTCTACGTGGCCGAGGTGCAACGAGCGCAAACTGCCAAGAAAAAAATAAATAAATTTGGGCAGTCCCGAAATGCTGGCACCGATGGGCACAGCGGTGCGGAGAGTGAAGTGACGTTCATCGGGCTGCAGGTGGCAAAACACAACACCCACCGCACCACTGCCGGTAAGGTGGCTGCGTTTCTGAAGTACATGACGTGCAACTTCAAGGGCTGGGAGGCGCTGAGGGAAAAGATGAGGTGGGAGATCATTTACATTCAGCACGCTGAGAGCATGCCAATGACGGGAAGGCGGGATTGCCATATCACGAAGGGAGAAAAGGAGGTGCCGAGACTTCAGGTTGCCAGAGACTTTTGGGAGAGAAGGGTGGAACAGTGCCAGGTGCAGCTTGACACGGAGATGGCTGTCCAGCTGGTTGTTGCTGCCAGCAAAGACCACTCAGGATAAGTGACGGGAACGTTGGGTGTAGCTGGAAATCCGCCCTACTCGTGTGTTGTGTTACATGGTGCTGTATGGGTTTGTGTCGTTTCAAGACATTCTTTTAGTGCGTTTTTTTCTTGGTGGGAAGGAAGGGCGGCGGCATGGCTGGGAGTGGGGGAGAGACCCGTTGATATATTATTATTGTGGTTTGTGTAGTGGGTGGGGTGGCAGCTTCCTCATGTGTATTGCAGCGGGAGCGGGGTGCTTTGCTGAGAGAAGGCGGTGGGGGGAGTGTGCCACCCGCTGAGGCTGAGCAGGCGACAGAAGGTTTTGTGTGGTTCCCCTGTTTGCTTTGCGGATGACGTGATTTTTAGCTTTCAGCGATGCCGCGTTGGGGAGCAGCGCGAGTGTTTTTTATTTTTTATTCTCAGTTCTTCCACGCCACACACACCCACTGCAACTGATGGTAATAATGACACCCTCCAATGCGGAAGGGAGTCGGGTGGTTGCGGGGCCCACCGACTGCCGGTTGTTGGGTCGGCAGCGGGAGCCTGGCTGTCGAGGGGGGTGGCGTGTGAACTTGTTGGTTTGGGGGGGTGCTGGTGCTGGTCGTACCGAGCCAAACTGCGATCCCCCATTGTGCATCCTTCGCTTTTTAGGAGTGGGAGCCATATGGCCTCATCCGGAGGCATATTTATTATTATTATTATTTTGTTTCATGACATTTTTGGTGAGTCTTTTGGTTGGTTCTTTGCGGCGGTGGGTGCGGTGGGGTCGATTGCTTTTTCGGGTGCTGGGAATTACTCTTTTCGTTGGGATTGGGCACGCAGCCGTGGCGCGGCGAGGGCGCATTTCACGGAGTGGTGAAGACGTCCCCCCGGTGGCATAGGGGATGTGCGGCGGCGAGGTGTGTTTCTCGGCGCACCTATCGGTGAGAAACTGGCAGATGAAACAAAAGAACAGCCGGCAACGAACATGGGGGGGGGAGGGAGTATGATGTGTATATGCACGTATTGTTTGAGCTCCGGGATTTCCGTTTGTCAGAGGAACTAGCGACGCGGCCTGTGGTCGCAATCATACGGGCAGGATCTCTCTGTCGGCAAGACACAGCCCCAACACAAGCGGCTGTCTGCAGCAGGCTGGCACCGGCGACGGTTGTGTGCGCTGCACGCAGGACCGTAAATGGGGCACCCCACCGAGGCCGCTGTATTGCCGCAGCGCGAGTAGCACCCTGCGCATGTGGGTTGGAGGTACGGGGTGCTGTGGGTGTTGGCGGTGGAGGGCGGTTGGGCCGCAGGTTGCTGCGGCGGCGGTGGCACAATGAGGCAGTTCGGTGAGTGCACGTCGAGGTGTATTTAATAAAATGGGGAAACTTTCGTCGACAAGTTGTTGCGAGGGAAATTATTGACGTGCGGCACGCTGCGAGTGGGCCAATCAACACACGTGGCGGGGGTGTGACACCGTCGCGCCCCGAGTTGCTGCTCAGCCTGAAGAGGAGGAGAGCACGACTCGTTTTTTGGGGCCGGAATGTGCGTCACTGCCGGGTGGCGACATCGTATGGAGGCGTACATGCGTGCGTGGTGGGTGAAGCGGCTTC